TCTTTATTTATGTGATGTGTTTGGATTCAATCTTTCTAGATTTGGATGGTTGGGACTCGTCTGATGCAGCAGGACCGTTTTTGTTGGAATATTACGATCCAGAGAGTTCAGAAAAATCTTCAAGATGGTGACTCATAAGACAGAAGAAATGACTTCTTTGTCAGTGGTCTGTAAATAATCCTGATTATGACAGAACAGACTTCCAATAAAAGTGAAATGTGTTTAACTAACCGAGTTCTCTGATGTATTCTCCTGGTTCACAGCGTCTGTGTTTCTTTGCTTCCACACAGTCGTCCTTTCTAGAGTCTGAGCAGTAAAATCCTTCCACAGGTTCACAAACTGTGTCTGATACTATCGTACACGACGTCTTCATCTTCAGAGCAGAACCTGTCGACACAAACACAGAGGTTATTTATGAACTACTGTACTTCTGCTCTACTAAAGAACAGTTTGGTGTAAGGAAATAACAAGTACTCAGATGATCCTCTCTGTGTTTGAGGCTCAAACTAACTGAAGGTTAGAAAGCTGGTTTTACAGTGATGACTGTTTAGTAACATGTTCTGATCTTTATTTAGTTTGATAATAATGTCAGAGATCTACCTTCATCACAGCTTTTACAGTCGTAGCACCGTGTACGGTAAGTCGGCTCGTCCATAAAGGTTCCTTCAGGGCAGGGCTCACAGAGAGTAGTTCTGGACTCTGTGCAGTCTTCATAAACCCAACCTCCTGTTTGAAACAAAGTCAAGAAGTAATTTTTTATTCTTGAGCATGTATTCAAAAACATATTTAAACACATCTTGTTATCGATTCATCATCTGTTAAATTTGTATGGAGGCTAAATGTTCGTGAGTTTAAGTCGAGCAGGTAGTAGAAGAAGTCGTACAGGTCCAATGAAAACCACAATGTAATAATTCAGTATAACGGAGACTATCCCTGTGAGACAGGAGGGGGGAGGGGCGATGTGTAAGTGGTGTATAAGAAGCGTCAGAGTCCTCTATACCAATGGTTCCCAGTAGTTTAGTTTGATAATAATGTCAGAGATCTACCTTCATCACAGCTTTTACAGTCGTAGCACTGTGTACGGGAAGTCGGCTTGTCCAAAAAGGTTCCTTCAGTGCAGGGCTTACAGAGAGTATTTCTGAGGTCTGTGCAGTCTTCATAAACCCAATGTCCTGTTTGAAACAACAAGAAGACATTTTTTATTCTTTTCTGTTGTTTGAACAATCAGAAGAGACAGAGTTGCCTTTTTTTCCACATGGACGCTTCAACAACATGAAACTTCTCCTTCAGTAACTTATGTCAGCGCGGAGAGAGAGAGAGAGAGACTGCTTGTCAACTGACAGCCCAGTAGGTCTGAAAAACTTTAAAACACAGCTGAGTCCAAAATATGCAAATTTTGTAACGACAGTAGGAAACCTCCCTCAGGGGGCCCCACCCGACAGCGCTTTCAACTGTAAATGCATTGTTCCAGTGAAATCTTAAACTTGCCAATAAAGTCACCAAAGGAAAATGAAGAAGAATAATCTGTCTGGGTGAGAAAAGGAGGAACAAGAAGACGGTAAGTGGAACAGAGGACGATAATATATAATGAATATGTTTAAAGGTAACTGTAAAGGTAAATCATCTTTAAATGTATATGTTGAAAATAATACAAATATTAAACGGCTTTTGCATGTTTTTAGTTAGTGTCAGTTTATTTATTTAAAATAGGGACAGTGCACATTAATGAACATAAAGATGATGATGTTCTTTAATGTGCTCCCTTTGAACGATAAAACGTTTTGATCGTCTGAGGGGAATCTCACAGTGGCTCTGGTGGCTCTAGTTGAGGAGTCATTTATAGCTTTCTGTTTGATGTAATCATTTAGTGGAGGTTGAGCCTGCCCATGTAGGACTTTATACATCAAACAGGCAATTTAAAATGTTTGGAAGTTGTCAAAGCTTACTAGCCTGTATTTTCGGAGGAGTAACATCCTTCTAAAATACGAGCTACAATTCTACAATTCACTTAATCAGACGCTTTTATCCAAAGCGACGTACATCAGAGAGTAAGTACAACACAAGCAAGGATCTAGAAAAAAGGGAACAATGTCAGTAAGAGCAAACGATCAGCTTTGAGTCCGATTGGACACACAGGTGCTGACAGGAAGTGACCAGAGGTGCTGACAGGAAGTGACCAGAGGTGCTGACAGGAAGTGACCAGAGGCAAAGCACAACAATGACGCCAGTTCTTGAGAGCTCTAATCAGTATAGAAACCATCTTATAAGTCGTCGTTATCAAACAAAAACCATCATCATCATCAATGATATGGAGACCATCAACAGAGGAGAAGAGTGTAGTCAGAGACTTAGGACCCTGTTGTGAAGGTTGGATCAGACACGTTTCATTGGCTGAGCGTAGTGGGCGGGAGGGAGTGTAGACCTGGATGAGAGAGTTAAAGTAAGGAGGAGACGTTTTTGTGTCTGTTTTGTAAGCGAGCAGCAGAGTTTTAAATTTGATGCGAGCAGTAACTGGGAGCCAGTGTAAGGAGATGAACAGCGGAGTGACATGTGCTCTTTTAGGAGGGTTGAAGACCAGTCGTGCTGCTGCATTTTGTATCATCTGCAGAGGTTTGATAGTGCATGTAGGAAGACCTGCCAGTAGAGAGTTACAATAGTCGATGCGTGATATCACAAGAGCCTGTACCAGGAGCTGTGTAGCATGTTCTGACAGGTAAGGTCTGATCTTCCTGATGTTGTACAAGCTATCATGCTTTGTGATACGAAAAGGTTTCTTGTCTATTATTTTCAGAGCTTTTCCATACAGAGACTCAACATGTTTCATTGTTGTTGATCCTGTAAGTGACCAACTGCTCATGCAGTAGTCAATGTGCTGTGCAGAATGCCATTGGCCCGGGTGGTACCATCGCCTCTAAGGTGGCTGCGAGACTAGGTTCTTTGTTGTCCATCTGCTGGGTTTTATGCCGTCGGCTCGTAACCACTGGTGGGACCGCTGCTGCTACGGTTTGCATGTTCTCCTCGTGCATGTGTGGGTTCTCTCCGGGTACTCCGTCTTCCTCCCACAGTCCAAAGACATGCTCGTTAGGTTAACTGCTGACTCTAAATTGTCTGTAGGTGTGAATGTGAGTGTGGCTGGTTGTCTGACTCTATATGTCAGCCCTGTGAATGGCTGGTGACCAGTGCAGGGTGTCACTTTCTCTGTAGACAGCAAAAGGCAGGTGCTGGAGTCCCTGTTTTAGTCTTTGTGTGCAAGTGCCTTATTAATATGCAAAAAAGGCAAACTACTCAGAAACAGTGACATAAGATTAGAATGTTAATCTAACCTGATAAACTTTAATTAAAGATTCTTTAACATTCATGAGGATCTTACCAGGTTGACACACAGGACAGCATCCACCAGGTGTCTCATAACTGTATGGACCACATGTCTGAGTTTGACCTGTAGAGACGTTCATCAGGAGAATCTGTGAAGAGAAAGAGAAATGTTCTCACTGAAGACAAAGTGTACATGAATACAGAGAGAAATCTAAAGTCATCATCCAGTCCATGAAGAGAGAAGAGGGAAAGAGTTCAAATCTTCACATCTGAAGTTTGTCTGTTTGTGTGAAGAAGAATCATTCAGAACAAATATTTACACAGATAGAAATGTTGAAGAGGAGAAATATAAAACCTCAATCAGTGCTCAGATAATTCAATAAGATCATTTACCAGAAACACTGCAGCTGATCCAGGTCTCATTCTCTCTGTAACAGAAGACCAGCACAGATTCCTCGTCTGTTTGAACCAACGCAGATTTAGGACCAAGAGAAATGTAACTCCAAACCAGGACAGGTAACACACTCCCAGAGAAAAGTGTTTTCAGCTTCCTGCAGTCAGAGAGATCACCATCATCATCATCTTCATCATCATCATCATCATCATCAGGACAGATACAGATTGTTACCAGGTGTAAAATGTCTCAGACATCAATGGAAATGAAATAAAGTTCTTTATGAACTGGATCTTACCAGGTGGACACATAGGACAGCATCTATCATTTATCTGATATTGATATGGACCACATGAGAGAGTTTGACCTGTGGAGACGTTCAGCAGGAGAAGGAGAAAAGTTAGTGCAGCAGACCCGGATGGAGGAATGAATGGCTCTTTCCAAAGTGACGCTTTTTGAAGCTTTATTTTCTTGATGCAGTTCACAAGAACCACAAGAGCTGTACATAGAGAACAACAAATAGCAAATAGGCTAAGTATTAAACAAATGACATATTAAAGCTCAATTAGAATAGAATATAAACAAGACAATTGATATAGCCTGAATATAAAGTTCAAAAAGTTATTTTATATTAGTTCAAATATTGTGCACATTTAGTTGGTAAAATTAGCAGTGGAATGAAACATATTTAACCCTTTTGTTATAAGACCCAAAAAGAACAATCATCAATCATTGTTCACAAAAGCCACTAAAACTGCTAAACTAGAACATTTTCACAGAAAATTCACATCAAATCTGTTGCTCAAACATAACTTGTAACAGTTACATTTCACTGATCTTGTGTATTCTGTATTTTGCTGACTGAAATCACGTTAAAACACTAAAGTCGGAAGAACGACTCAGAAACTTGGACGACCCGAGCAGCACCTGAATGCAGCACAACACCCAGCTGACTTCTCTCCATGAAATCTTAATGTTTTAGAAGCCTAATCTCTGAAACATTTCCTCCATAAAACCTCATTCATTCGAGTCTTCTTGTTTTGTATTCTCCGTGACTGATGTTTGAGGATATTTCAGAAGCCTGGCTATAAAAACGGTCAAACAAGTGTTGTGCTTATTTAGGTTAGCGATAACTTAATAACATGTCATCACGCAGACGAAGAGTTTTAACTTTAAAACAACAAAGACGGACTTTCACACTGCTTCACCAATGTTGTTAGGTCTGTTTCTTTTATAAAAGGTGGTGAGAAAAACACGGACAAACTTCTCTTAATGACGACGTTACCTGAAAGAAGAGGTACGACTCTCCGGCTCTAACTAGGAAATTAATGGGAAAAGTGTGGAGCTCAGGTGGGGCACATGGACCGTAAATGGGTGGAGCACAGGTGGGGCACATGGACCGTAAATAGGTGGAGCACAGGTGGGGCACATGGACCGTAAATGGGTGGAGCACAGGTGGGGCACATGGACCGTAAATGGGTGGAGCACAGGTGGGGCACATGGACCGTAAATAGGTGGAGCACAGGTGGAGCCATAGACTGTAAATGGGTGGAACACAGGTGCTTCTTCTTCTCTTTGAGTTTTAGTGGCGGCTGGCATCCATGAAGTTTTGGTTACTGCCATCTGCTGGATTGTACTTGTAGCTGTCGCAGAACATTATATTTCTTTGAACAGGATTTGTTGTAATTACAGAGAAAATGTTTTATTTTGAAATGTGTTCAGATTCTATGCTCTGTTACTGACACCTACTGGTCTAATTGTGTATTGCGCTGAGTGTTCAGCATGCAGTGTTCACATGTTTAATTGGAGCAATGAAAACGTGCTGCCAGAAGCTAGTACCAACGGTAGGACACAGATGAAGGAGACGCGTCTGTGAAGAACTTTAAAAGACTGCAAAGCCTCAACATTTCTGGTTAGAAGGCGCACACGGTATGTAATTGTATTTTTATTTGTAAAGGACATTTTGTTTAGCTTTTGTATAGTCATCCGTGCTCATACATGCTTGTGTCTTTATTTACTTCATTTTAGTTTTTCACGGTGTTTGCTGACAAAAGGAAAAGAATAAATATTGGTCAAACATCAGTTGGAGCGTGGCTTATCTGTACCAGATGAAGAAACTTTGGGAGCAGTTATAGTACTGCTCTTCACATTCATAAATCCTCCTCAAACAAAGACCTGTTCTCAAAAGAAAATCTCCTCTTTGCATTCATCATCCTCATCATCATGACACCCTAAACACCTCCTACATGCTCCCAGCTTCTTCACAACATTTTACTTTTCAATCAGCTTCAGTTCTTTGAATCGCCTGCAAAAGAACGGTTTCTCTCTATGCCTTTCATCCCCACAGACAATACACCCACTGTCTTTCTCTGTGGAACGTGTAGAAGAATACTTTCTTTTCTGATCGTTCACTTTCTACAAGCTGCTCAAGTTTTTCCAGGATTTCTTCTTGGGTTTTGAAAAGCTTGAGGAGGCTGTCAAAGTGGTTCTCCGAGGTCACATTGTTGCTAGGGTTTAACATGAAGACGAGCCAGTCCTTTTTTACAGGGTCCGGTAGCTTGCTCTCTATGCACTTTGTTACTCTTGGGTTTTTGATGGCATCTGTCTCTCCAAGCTCTCGAAGGGCTGCCAGGGCTTTCTCCACAGTCTGGATAAGGTCGATAACTTTCCTTGGTTGATTTTGCTCTTAGCACAGGAATTCTCTCCAGACCTTCAATAATCTCCAAGGCGATTGTAGATTTATTTCCAAATCTATTTTCAATAACTCTGAAAATGTCATCTGCAGTGTTGTATGTAGAAAGGCGGAGGTCTCTTGTGATTCTCTCAGTCATGCTGTCTATAAGCTGCATCTTTCTCACCTCCATTGAGCCGGTTGGTTCTCCTTGCTTTTGCAGGCTCTCCCAATCCTTCTTCCATCTGTGGAACTCTCTTTTATCACCATAAAACTTGGGCAGACTAATTGGCTTAATTCTTACAATGGGTGTTGTCTGTGTTGCTGGCGTGGTCCTCATGTGTGCAGCTGCAGTGAACATAGATGCACTTTTTTCCTCCTCTTCAATTCTTAGAGCAAACACAAACTCTGTTCTCCTCTCTTCAAGATTGTTCTTGACTCCCTTTAAGTCTTTAATTCTACCATCTAGATTGCCTTTCTCCGTTTCTGAAATCCACAGCTCCCAAAATGCTAGGCTTTGAGAGGCTTCCTGGACCAGCTTCTCCATGAAGCCCAACTGCATTTCATAGCCATCATTAGACTCACAGCAGAGACAGGTGTTGCAGCTTCCTTATCACAGGCTCTCTCAGCTTCATTGACTGCAGCTTTCAGCTCATCTTGTCCATATCGAGACCAGAGGTTTGTTTGCACAAATTTCCTGATTTCATCTCATTTTGTCTCACATTCCAGTGTCTTCCTTTCATTGAATTCAGCCTGCAAGTGTCTCAGCCTCACTCCTGCTCTCACTCACACTCAGGGGCGTCGTAGTGGGGGAAAAGTGGGAATGACTACCTAGGGCCCAGTGGGGAGGGGGGGCCCTTCATGGGCCTGAAATAAAAATTTATTTCTTATTTATCTTTTTTCTCTAAGTTATAAGATAACTAAAATTTTCTGAATAAATGAACAAACATTCAGAATTCCTTTCTGAAAAAAATGTGGAGTCTGTCTCAAAGGCCCCTCTCCCCCCTTCTGATTGCGTAGAATGGTTTAGTCCTCCCACCACCTCTCGCCTGGATTGAATTGTCGGCAGTCAATCGAGTCAAGAGTGAGAGATGTGGCAGGCTGCAAATTAAGATTAAGCCAAGAATGTCGTTTTGTTCAATTTGTGTTTTATGCATAAATTCATCATGTGAATCCCCTTCATAGATACGATTTCACATGACCCTATTTTGTAAAAATATTACATCGCGGTAAAAAAGAGTCCACTTTGGAGCGATATTTAGCGTCTTTCCCAGCTACAGTAACATATTTGATATCAACAGATTCTTTGTAAACTGTCAATTCATATGATATCAATGTTGTCGCGCTAGCAGCAAAACTGAGTTCGCTACTTCTGCCCAAAAAACAATATTTTGAAGTCAGGTGAGACAAATGATAATGCAGTGTAAGAAGAATTAAAGTGAAGTCAGAACAGAGAAGAACTATTACAGCCTCATTTTGAAGTCATGGTAGAATCTAATTCAGATTTATTATATGTTCACATTTTATCATTAATGCCAGTATAATTTTTAATTCAAAAAGCTAACCAATAAGATCACTTTAGACAATAAAAGCCTTTAGAACATTAACTATAACAAGTTAATAAGTAAAATAATCCTGCTGGAAATGTTTCAAATGTCTGAAAGGTGCATATGTTACAAAATTTAAATTACTTTTAAGCTATGAGGAAATATTACAGTGATTATTTATCTTCCTTTTTCAGGGTGTAAAACAAAGCATAGTTTTTATGGGTCATTTGTGTGATGGTCATAGAAATTTTCCAGGTTAGTTTGGGGCGTGGTAGGGGCCCAATGTGATATCTTTACACGGGGGCCCGGAGTTCCTGGCGGCGCCCCTGCTCACACTACCAACACTCCTGTCTGTGAATTAGAGCCACTCAGTAGGTTTACACACCTGGCTCAGAAAGGTTACCTGATTTCCTGACCCGCTCAGTGCTGCTCTCCAGTGTTCAATAAAAACTTTAAATAAGGACTGACAACAGAGATAACCTGATAAGTACTAATAAAGCTGCTTAACCTTTAAACACTGTGGTTCTTAGATATTAACAAAACAGTTAATGAATAACTAAATAAAATACATAAATAGAGATCATACAAAACATCAAGTATTTCATGTAACAATTCAACGTATACATAAGAACACCTTCTCGCAGCAGTAACATTTTGGCATACTGCACGTCCCCTCGACACATCCTACAGTACCTGTTATTCAGAATATTAACATGGGCACAAATGAATGTTTGTATCGGTTCAGCCGGGTCTGAGGGACCAAAGCTGAAACTCAGTGAAGAATGTGGGTCAGACTCTATTTTCTGTGCCTGTCTAACAACACACTGCTCAGAGGGTGTTTGAAGAGATGGATGTTTTTTGACCCCCCACCACCCATGACCGGCTCGGAGACGGCAAATAAAGTTAGAGACACCAGAAATAACTCTTAATTAAACTCTTTTATTTACAAAAACATAAACAAACAAACCAACATCAGTAACCTCCTGGCTCACATTCTCCTCTTGGCTCCGATCTTCTTTTGGAGCTGATGAAGAAAGTTTGTTGGGGTAAGATGCCTCCTTTCTTTTCTGCCAAACTTACGTCTGTGAAGATCTCTGGCTTGTGTATTTCTGCATTAATAAGAATTGGTGAGTATTTAGGTCTAAGAAAACATATCATGTGTCGTTGCTTAAATCTAGGATGGACTATGTTTTTTGTTCCCCTTCCCTTTATGAGCAGCCCTGCTGGTCAGTGATGGCAACACACATGAAAATGAATAAAGTCTTCGACATTTCTGTATCTGGAAGAAGATTAATTTAAAATAAGTCAGCTTGCTCACGACATTACAATGTTTTTAAAGATAGAAATGAGATTTCAAACGCAGTGGCACGTGTTGAAGAGGTCTCAGGATTAAAAATGAACATCAGTAAATCTATATTATTTTCAATTAAGGAATGCAATATGTCATGTATTTATGGGATTCCTGTTAAATGTTGGTCTGGTAGCTGGAGAGGTGCCAGATCACTTCTTGAGCACTGCCGAGGTGCCCTTGAGCAAGGCACCAACCTTCAAATGTTGAAGGGGAGGAAGTCTGGGTTGACGTACTTCGCCTGTTGCCACAGTTAATGGAGAAACCACCATTAGGATCATTTAGATATGGTGTCATCATGAAGGTTGTCCAGTAGAAGGCGGTCCTGATCCACTGAACAATACTCTCTACTTATTTTTTTATATTTTCTCCCTCTATAACCCTTATTAATCTGTGTTGTTCAATTGACTTTAAGTCTTACTAATTGTTTTCAATAATCTTTGAAGTACTTTATGTTCAATTTAACAAATTAATGATCAATAAGACATTTAAAAAAATTAATAAAATCAGATAAATGAGAAATGACTCGAGCAAAGAGTAAAACATGAATCAGCTCAAGAAAAATAAAACCATTTAAAAACAGAGAAAAACAGACATTAGTAAAGGACAGAAAGGAGAGAAAGGTTTGAAGAAAAGATGAAAGATGAGATTGATGATGAGACAGAGTTCAGTATTCAGAGTTCTTCCTCCAGGTGATATATTCAGTATGAAACACAGAGCTTTACTTCAGAAACAGAACTGAGCCTTTGACCTTTGACCTCAGAGTTCTTACTGTCCTTTACCTTACAAATATTTGAACTGTTAGCTCAGTGTTGAAGTTAAAATAACACTCTCAAACAGTTCTGTTTTTGACCACCAGAGGTCAGCAGAGCACAGATATTCAATACTTTGATGTTATTGTTCAAGAATCAGACACTTTGATTTAGTCAAATCTTTTTATAGATAGATAGATAAACTTTATTGTCTGTCCCAACAGTGATGAAATCATTTTTTTTCTGTTTTTTGGGCCAGAGGGACACTGTAGCGTCTGCCTACGCTCTTCAAAAGAGGAACAAGAACATAAAAAGTCAAAATTGTTTCTGAAGGTATTTATAATTATATAATTAAGTCTCACTTCTTCTCTGGTATCTCTAGCTGAACTGCAGACATTTTTCAATGAATGAATGAAACCTTTATTGCCCCTAGAGGAATCTGCCTTGCACAGAGAGCATAAAACACACTATACAAACAAACATTTACAGGACAACAAGAACACAGTAAAGCATCGCATGATTAACTGAGTGATTTCAGTAGCAAGTGAAATAAAGTGCAGAGTGCCGAGTTCATCCTGTATAATCAAAGCTTATTAAGCAGCTGAATACTGTGTGGTACTAAAGATGTAATGCCTCTTTTAGTCCTCATCCGGGGCATTCTGTACCTGCACCCTGAAGTCAAGAGTTCATACTACGAACAAAGGGGGTGCAGAGGGTCAGCTGTAATCTTGATTTGTTGCTTTTGAGGATTTTTCTTTTATTTATTTGTTTATTTTGACAGGAACAGTGTACAGCCAATTAGCATATTCTTTACACTTACACATTTAATTTGTCTGCAATCGCTTGCCAAGCTGCTCGTCTGGCCTTTGCTGATGCCGAGGTGTTTGATTTGGCTGTTAAATGAAGTTTTCATATTCGTCAATGATGGTTTGCGGTTCAAGTTGTGTAAAAAATGTCGCGCTTTCCTTTAAATTCTCCATTGATAATCACAGAGAGAATCAGGATTTGTGATCCACGTTGCTCCCTTTTCATGTAGGACGGGCACGCGCAAGTATCCTGATCACTGTGGTTCCAATTAACGATACTGAAATCTGTTTTGTATTCTTTTAAGGGCAAAATGTTAATTCTCCATCATGGAGAACACACTGCTGACGCCTTTGCTTCCTACTGAGCATTTTTGCTTGGCAGTCTAATTTCAGTCTAGCTATCTAAGGAAGTGGGTAGCTACACATAGAAAAAGATGGTGGTTTCCTTGTCTCGGGGAATTCTCTGGATAAACATGTCTTCCTGTGTATAGACAACAAAGTCACACCAGTCTAAACCGGAAATCAGCATCTGGCCCTGGATTTGCCAAAAGTAAGGATGGGACTTTCTGAGTGTGTGTGTGCCCTCACTGATCTTTATATAAAGGCAGTCCACATAGATCACTACATTTGGGTATTTAATTTCTAGGAGGCCAAAGACTGGTTGTCCCTGTGGGTCATAGACAATACCATCAGGTGATGATCCCATCCATGGTGCGTCGGGGTGGATGAGGAACCCACAAGGGTAGTGGTTCACATCCCTTGCTCTGCAGTACTCCTCTACAGCTGCAGGCTCCATTTCAAGCCCCCTCCTCTTGTCTGCAGTCTGATGGCTGGGTCTCAGTAGCCTTTTAACAAGATTTACAGCAGAGCTGTGACTTCTGGTGTGACAGAGCTCTCTAAATTTGGAGGATGTGACTCTGTATCTTCTTAATTGGTGCCACTCAATGCAGGAGCTCTGCTCTTTTGTACTAGATTCAATTTTATGTGCTGTTTCTAAGGATGTTTCCAATGACATCATGTGGAGCTGCTGATGTTCAGTGCAGACAAAAGAACATGTACATGGTCCCAGCATGTACTGATGAAGGGCCTAAAGCACGATTACCTCTTGTACATAATGTCGTAATACAACACATGCACGCTTTATGTTATTATGAAGCGTGCTCAGTTTACAAACTCAAGAGAGAGCGAGAGAGAGAGAGAGAGAGAGAGAGAGAGAGAGAGAGAGACGCGCAGTCGAGCCCGCGGCCGCACATCGGAGAACAACACAGAGAACATGACAGCTACTTTGTGTCTTATATTGTGTCATGTTAGTCAGATACAAACTCTGGATTTCTCCAGAATGAAGGCTGTCAGTGTTGTTTACCCGCGTGCTTGTGCTCGTGCATGAAGTGTACCGTGCTGAAGCACACCTCTCTGAAGTGTGCCAAAGCCAAGGAAGTGTACCGTGCCCGAGTACGATACAGAGCAGTCACACTGGTCAAATGAACTGGACTTTAGGGTTGAAGCGTGCTTGAGCACGGTACGGATGGCCAGTGTGACCGCGCCCTGACTCCTTTATATAAGTTGCTCCTATGGAAAAGACAAATAATTATTTGCTTATTCATTTATTTTCTATCTACCTATGTATTCATTTATTTAAAAAAGTCTTTACCCTAACTATACCGAACACTGCTTAAAGGCACACCACACTTCTGGTAAAATAATGTGAACTCTGTGTTGGACAAGAGCTACACCTTTTTTTCTTAACTGCTACCTCATGTCTATGTATATGTTGGTAATGTGCATGTTTTGATCTTGTGTCTGTGTATGATTTTTAACTCAAATGTTTTCACAAATGATAATAATTACAGAAACAATCATGACAAAAAATATATAAATAATAATAACCTGACTCCCTGTGTAAGTCTTCTTTCCTTGGGTCTGGCTGAAAGGATGACCATTTCATTTACAGGACCAGGTTTAACACCCTGCAGTTAGACAAAAAAAACGTTTTTTCCAAAAACAAGGACAAAGAACTTTACATAACCTCACAGTATGTCATAAAGTTAGCATACCATGGTTCTTGGTTTATGCCACTGCTGTTCTGTCTCTGTGCAGCTGTGCACTGGGGGGACAGTGGTGATGTTGAGCTGAGAATAGTGTGCAGTCTGGTATAATAGTGCTGCCACATGGTTGCACAAGGCTGCACCAGCCACACAGGTACACTGGCAGCTTTGTAGCTGCACAGGACGGGTATCCCTTAGTGCAATCTGGGAAAATACACAAATTTGTTACAATGTTGTACAATACATACTGTACTTGCTGCAAGTGCAGTTTAACTTTAAATACTTAATGAAAATGTGTTATAGAAGGAACAATTATAGAAAAAGGAAGATAATAACTAAATACATTTAGCCAAACAATATCTGATCTCAGTCTCTCTTTACTAATGAATATGAGACGCACATAATATTGAAAAGTGGTAAAACACAGACTGTTAGTATCTAGTTTCTGTGAATCCCATTGCCTATTTTCACACAGTAATGTTATGAATTGTTTATCAAATTATGTATATATTTATAAGTAGCTTTTAGCAGTACTCGTGGCACCTATATGATTCACAGAAACTTGATTTGATGAACAGAAATCTGTCATGAACCTGCTGCATAACTTTCCCTTACACTCAGACTGTGAGGCTTTTGTTTTGTCCTCATTGATCTGAAGCACTCAGCTCTAACGCTAATCTCTCCGCTGGAATCCTTCTTTCGTACTGACATTGAAAATTGTGACAGTGATAGAAAGAAACAAATAGAAACACAGTGTTAGCACTTACTACACATTATGCCAGTACACAAACATGCTAACATTCACATTAATGATCTTACCTTCGTAATTGTGGATATGCTTCGTTCTTTGTTTTTTTCAAATGAAACTTTATTAACAACTTTCAACGCACCGTCTCGATTTCACTCGTTCAGTGTGAGTACGTCAATCTCAAGGTCTGGTCGGGCGTCGTAAACTATTCAGTCTTACAGTGTGAGCCGACTTTTACACAATCGGGGAAAATCGCAGTGAGTCAGGCTTTAGTCAACCTTTAACCATAACGTTCATCAAATCAGGCTAAAAGGACATCAGCTCTGATTATTTGAACCACATACGAGGACTGGGGCCCTGGATTCAAACCTGCGACCACTTCAACAAAGACTGAAGCCTCTCCTCCTGAGACCAAAACAAGTTGACCTAAAGCAGCGATGGGCAACTTTGGTCACAGCAAGGGCCACATTCATTTAATTCTGACTGCCAGGGGGCCAAATTGTAGTATACAAAAAACGATAACAGTCAATTATGTCTCAAATTTAACTCAACATATACCAGTGATCAAATATTATGATGGAAATAGTTCATGGCAGATTTTGTCATGTTTTCTTCATGTTTTGATATATAAAAATTGACCTGAGGGCCACATTGAGGGTTGACGAGGGCCGCATGTGGCCCCCGGGCTGCCAGTTGCCCACCCCTGGCCTAAAGGATATAAAAATATATTTAAAAACATTAACTTGATTTATTTTCTGAAAACAGAATCAAAAACATAAAGAGTCTACGGGACATGTAACCTCACACAGCGCTCTGACATCTCGTGTCATACATTTAGTTTAATCAGAAATAAAGAGTTTAACAGAAAGACATCACATGAATTATTTTAACATTCAGTACAATTAAAGCTTTTTTTACATAACTGGATGTATAAAGTGAACAACTGTACAAGGAACAAAAAAAAAAAAAAAAATCATAATAACAACATCTGATCTCATCTCAGCTCACACTCATCTATACACATTCACACCCTGATGATGCAGCAGAGGGAGTTATTTGGGGTTAAGTGTTTTGTCCAAAGAAACATCAACATGTTGCTGCAGGAGCTGGGGATCGAACCCCCGACCTTTCACTTGGGAGACCACCGACCACCACTGAACCACAGCCGGCCCAAGAAATAAAAGGGACAATCTTTAATTTCTAAAAGATTTAAACTTGATGGTGAGAGAGCCGATGGAGCGCTGATGAAAGTGTTTGTGTTCAATCATCGTCTCAAAAACAAAACTGGAACAGATAAAAAAACAGATATAAATATAAACACATATATAAATATAAACAGATCTCAACAGTGTGTCAGGATCCAGCAGGTGGACCAGAACAGGATCCTGGAGATGATTCACTCTGCAGGAGTTCAGTCTGAACCGTCTCACCCTGAGGAGAAAAGAGATTTAGTTTAAATCAAACATTTAGTAAATCTGTAAAAACAGGACAGAGTTGATCTCAGTCAGTCAGAGAACATTTGATCAAAGCTCTGCTGGCTCACCTTCGACTCTTTGGAGTCATCTGACATCAGACTCTTCAGGGTTTGTTATCTAAGGTTCACATCTTCCTGTACGGGAAACATTAATAAGACAGACTTTATTAAATCATTGAACATAAAACAGATTGAGAGTAAAGAGAGTTTAAAACATACCTGGTGAGAGAGTGTTTCTTTTATGGTTCCTGGAATAAAACATTAGAAATAAAAATCAAATAAATGAAGAAACAGACCATAATATCTATAAAATAAACATGATCATGTTTCATTGTCACAGTGGAAACCTTACCTAAGATTAGATGTCTAATCTTCCTCCGTTTGAAATAACACACTCCGAGTACAAAGACTAAAAACATCACAACAGCGACTATCAGTCCAGTCCAGTGTGGCAGTAGTCCTCCACACTGAGCGTCCTTTGTCTCAGTTCCTGCTCTCAGCAGCTCTCGACCCTCTGATTCACATCTGTAATGATAGAGGGACAGTTATTACAGGAACATCTGGAGAGTCCATGTGTGATGTGAAGCTTCACTCACTGTTTGTGTTTCTGACAAGATGTAAACGTCCCGTTTGAAAATGTTCCATCAGAGCAGGTGGAGCACACGGTGTCTGTGGAGGAAGTTCCTGCAGGAAATACAGAACACATGAGACTATTACACAGACGTTGTTTTAGACATGAACACAGTCCCTCTATCACCATATATACAAAATGATGTCATGTAATTATCTTATCAGTTGGTCAAACACATTTCAGCTAACCAAAGGCCCAACAGAGACAAGAGTTGTAAATTAGCAATCGCTATAAGCTCTCTGTGCAGCACATCAGTTTCCTGCTCTGTATTCAAACTATGTTAAATTTCATCGTCCCTATTAAATAAATAAATTCAAATTCAAATTTAAAAAGCCTCGTGTTCAGAATGTCATTGGCTACAAGAAACGTCAGTCGTCAGCATAGTGGCGTGCAATTGGCCGGGTATAGATTCATCAGAATCCTTTCATCTCATTGGCTGTAATAGACTGGGAACTGAATGGAAGGTCCTAATTTGCCAAATGGGGTGCCAATCGAAAGGTTAGAGTTTTGAGTATCCTAATTTTAAAAAATCATTCACAAAAATGAATGATCACAGAAAATACAGCAGGAAATCTGGAACAGCGGTGGACAATTTGAATCAATCTGTAGATCTTTATTTATGTGATGTGTTTGGATTCAATCTTTCTCTAGATTTGGATGGTTGGGACTCGTTCTGATGCAGCAGGACCGTTTTGTTGGAATATTACGATCCAGAGAGTTCAGAAAATCTTCAGATGGTGACTCATAAGACAGAAGAAATGATTTCTTTGTCAGTGGTCTGTAAATAATCCTGATTATGACAGAACAGACTTCCAATAAAAGTGAAATGTGTTTAACTAACCGAGTTCTCTGATGTATTCTCCTGGTTCACAGCGTCTGTGTTTCTTTGCTTCCACACAGTCGTCCTTTCTCGAGTCTGAGCAGTAAAATCCTTCCAGAGGTTCACAAACTGTGTCTGATTTTATCGTACACGACGTCTTCATCTTCAGAGCAGAACCTGTCGACACAAACACAGAGGTTATTTATGAACTACTGTACTTCTGCTCTACTAAAGAACAGTTTGGTGTAAGGAAATAACAAGTACTCAGGTGATCATCTCTGTGTTTGAGGCTCAAACTCAAACTAACTGAAGGTTAGAAAGCTGGTTTTACAGTGATGACTGTTTAGTAACATGTTCTGATCTTTATTTAGTTTGATAATAATGTCAGAGATCTACCTTCATCACAGCTTTTACAGTCGTAGCACTGTCTACGGGAAGTCGGATGGTCCATGAAGGTTCCATCAGTGCAGGGCTTACAGAAAGTACTTCTGGTCTGTGCAGTCTTCATAAACCCAACCTCCTGTTTGAACAACAAGAAGACATTTTTTTCTTTTTTCTTTTAAAGAGACAGAGTTGTCTTTTTTTTTCTTAAACACAGCTGAGTCCAAAATGCAAATTTTGCAACGACAGTAGGAAACCTCCCTCAGGGGGCCCCACCCGACAGCGTTGCGCTTTCAAGTGTAAATGCATTGTTCCAGTGAAATCTTAAACTTGCCAATAAAGTCACCAAAGGAAAATGAAGAAGAATAATCTGTCTGGGTGAGAAAAGGAGGAACAAGAAGACGGTAAGTGGAACAGAGGACGATAATATATAATGAATATGTTTAAAGGTAACTGTAAAGGTAAATCATCTTTAAATGTATATGTTGAAAATAATACAAATATTAAACAGCTTTTGCATGTTTTTAGTTAGTGTCTGTTTCTTTATTTAAAATAGGGACAGTGCACATTAATGAACATAAAGATGATGATGTTCTTTAATGTGCTCCCTTTGAACGATAAAACGTTTTGATCGTCTGAGGGGAATCTCACAGTGGCTCTGGTGGCTCTAGTTGAGGAGTCATTTATAGCTTTCTGTTTGATGTAATCATTTAGTGGAGGTTGAGCCTGCCCATGTAGGACTTTATACATCAAACAGGCAATTTAAAATGTTTGGAAGTTGTCAAAGCTTACTAGCCTGTATTTGCGGAGGAGTAACATCCTTCTAAAATACGAGCTACAATTCTACAATTCACTTAATCAGACGCTTTTATCCAAAGCGATGTACATCAGAGAGTAAGTACAACACAAGCAAGGATCTAGAAAAAAGGGAACAATGTCAGTAAGAGCAAACGATCAGCTTTGAGTCCGATTGGACACACAGGTGCTGACAGGAAGTGACCAGAGGTGCTGACAGGAAGTGACCAGAGGCAAAACACAACAATGACGCCAGTTCTTGAGAGCTCTAATCAGTATAGAAACCATCTTATAAGTCGTCGTTATCAAACAAAAACCATCATCATCATCAATGATATGGAGACCATCAACAGAGGAGAAGAGTCTAGTCAGAGACTTAGGACCCTGTTGTGAAGGTTGGATCAGACACGTTTCATTGGCAGAGCGTAGTGGGCGGGAGGGAGTGTAGACCTGGATGAGAGAGTTAAAGTAAGGAGGAGACGTTTTTGTGTCTGTTTTGTAAGCGAGCAGCAGAGTTTTAAATTTGATGCGAGCAGTAACTGGGAGCCAGTGTAAGGAGATGAACAGCGGAGTGACATGTGCTCTTTTAGGAAGGTTGAAGACCAGTCGTGCTGCTGCATTTTGTATCATCTGCAGAGGTTTGATAGTGCATGTAGGAAGACCTGCCAGTAGAGAGTTACAATAGTCAATGCGTGATATCACAAGAGCTTGTACCAGGAGCTGTGTAGCGTGTTCTGACAGGTAAGGTCTGATCTTCCTGATGTTGTACAAGCTATCATGCTTTGTGATACGAAAAGGTTTCTTGTCTATTATTTGCAGAGCTTTTCCATACAGAGACTCAACATGTTTCATTGTTGTTGATCCTGTAAGTGACCAACTGCTCATGCAGTAGTCAATGTGCTGTGCAGAATGCCATTGGCCCGGGTGGTACCACCGCCTCTAAGGTGGCTGCGAGACTAGGTTCTTTGTTGTCCATCTGCTGGGTTTTATGCCGTTGGCTCGTAACCACTGGTGGGACCGCTGCTGCTACGGTTTGCATGTTCTCCTCGTGCATGTGTGGGTTCTCTCCGGGTACTCCGTCTTCCTCCCATGCTGGTTACTGCTGACTCTAAATTGTCCGTAGGTGTGAATGTGAGTGTGGCTGGTTGTCTGACTCTATATGTCAGCCCTGTGAATGGCTGCTGACCAGTGCAGGGTGTCACTTTCTCTGTAGACAGCAAAAGGCAGGTGCTGGAGTCCCTGTTTTAGTCTTTGTGTGCAAGTGCCTTATTAATATGCAAAAAAGGCAAACTACTCAGAAACAGTGACATAAGATTAGAATGTTAATCTAACCTGATAAACTTTAATTAAAGATTCTTTAACATTCATGAGGATCTTACCAGGTGGACACATAGGACAGCATCCACCAGGTGTCTCATAACTGTATGGACCACATGTCTGAGTTTGACCTGTGGAGACGTTCAGCAGGAGAATCTGTGAAGAGAAAGAGAAATGTTCTCACTGAAGACAAAGTGTACATGAATACAGAGAGAAATCTAAAATCATCATCCAGTCCATGAAGAGAGAAGAGGGAAAGAGTTCAAATCTTCACATCTGAAGTTTGTCTGTTTGTGTGAAGAAGAATCATTCAGAACAAATATTTACACAGATAGAAATGTTGAAGAGGAGAAATATAAAAGCTCAATCAGTGCTCAGATAATTCAATAAGATCATTTACCAGAAACACTGCAGCTGATCCAGGTCTCATTCTCTCTGTAACAGAAGACCAGCACAGATTCCTCGTCTGTTTGAACCAACACAGATTTAGGACCAAGAGAAATGTAACTCCAAACCAGGACAGGTAACACACTCCCAGAGAAAAGTGTTTTCAGCTTCCTGCAGTCAGAGAGATCACCATCATCATCATCATCTTCATCATCATCATCATCATCATCATCATCATCATCATCATCATCATCTTCATCATCATCAGGACAGATGCAGATTGTTAACAGGTGTAAAATGTCTCAGACATCAATGGAAATGAAATAAAGTTCTTTATGAACTGGATCTTACCAGGTGGACACATAGGACAGCATCTATCATTTATCTGATATTGATATGGACCACATGAGAGAGTTTGACCTGTGGAGACGTTCATCAGGAGAAGGAGAAAAGTTAGTGCAGCAGACCCGGATGGAGGAATGAATGGCTCTTTCCAAAGTGACGCTTTTTGAAGCTTTATTTTCTTGATGCAGTTCACAAGAACCACAAGAGCTGTACATAGAGAACAACAAATAGCAAATAGGCTAAGTATTAAACAAATGACATATTAAAGCTCAATTAGAATAGAATATAAACAAGACAATTGATATAGCCTGAATATAAAGTTCAAAAAGTTATTTTATATTAGTTCAAACATTGTGCACATTTAGTTGGTAAAATTAGCAGTGGAATGAAACATATTTAACCCTTTTGTTATAAGACCCAAAAAGAACAATCATCAATCATTGTTCACAAAAGCCACTAAAACTGCTAAACTAGAACATTTTCACAGAAAATTCACATACTTGGACATCAAATATGTTGCTCAAACATAACTTGTAACAGTTACATTTCACTGATCTTGTGTATTCTGTATTTTGCTGACTGAAATCACGTTAAAACACTAAAGTCGGAAGAACGACTCAGAAACTTGGACGACCCGAGCAGCACCTGAATGCAGCACAACACCCAGCTGACTTCTCTCCATGAAATCTTAATGTTTTAGAAGCCTAATCTCTGAAACATTTCCTCCATAAAACCTCATTCATTCGAGTCTTCTTGTTTTGTATTCTCCGTGACTGATGTTTGAGGATATTTCAGAAGCCTGGCTATAAAAACGGTCAAACAAGTGTTGTGCTTATTTAGGTTAGCGATAACTTATTAAACATGTCATCACGCAGACGAAGAGTTTTAACTTTAAAACAACAAAGACGGACTTTCACACTGCTTTACCAATGTTGTTAGGTCTGTTTCTTTTATAAAAGGTGGTGAGAAAAACACGGACAAACTTCTGTTAATGACGACGTTACCTGAAAGAACAGGTACGACTCTCCGGCTCTAACTAGGAAATTAATGGGAAAAGTGTGGAGCTCAGGTGGGGCACATGGACCGTAAATGGGTGGAGCACAGGTGGAGCCATAGACTGTAAATGGGTGGGACACAGGTGCTTCTTCTTCTCTTTGAGTTTTAGTGGCGGCTGGCATCCATGAAGTTTTGGTTACTGCCATCTGCTGGATTGTACTTGTAGCTGTCGCAGAACATTATATTTCTTTGAACAGGATTTGTTGTAATTACAGAGAAAATGTTTTATTTTGAAATGTGTTCAGATTCTATGCTCTGTTACTGACACCTACTGGTCTAATTGTGTATTGCGCTGAGTGTTCAGCATGCAGTGTTCACATGTTTAATTGGAGCAATGAAAACGTGCTGCCAGAAGCTAGTACCAACGGTAGGACACAGATGAAGGAGACGCGTCTGTGAAGAACTTTAAAAGACTGCAAAGCCTCAACATTTCTGGTTAGAAGGCGCACACGGTATGTAATTGTATTTTTATTTGTAAAGGACATTTTGTTTAGCTTTTGTATAGTCATCCGTGCTCATACATGCTTGTGTCTTTATTTACTTCATTTTAGTTTTTCACGGTGTTTGCTGACAAAAGGAAAAGAATAAATATTGGTCAAACATCAGTTGGAGCGTGGCTTATCTGTACCAGATGAAGAAACTTTGGGAGCAGTTATAGTACTGCTCTTCACATTCATAAATCCTCCTCAAACAAAGACCTGTTCTCAAAAGAAAATCTCCTCTTTGCATTCATCATCCTCATCATCATGACACCCTAAACACCTCCTACATGCTCCCAGCTTCTTCACAACATTTTACTTTTCAATCAGCTTCAGTTCTTTAAATCGCCTGCAAAAGAACGGTTTCTCTCTATGCCTTTCATCCCCACAGACAATACACCCACTGTCTTTCTCTGTGGAACGTGTAGAAGAATACTTTCTTTTCTGATCGTTCACTTTCTACGAGCTGCTCAAGTTTTTCCAGGATTTCTTCTTGGGTTTTGAAAAACTTGAGGAGGCTGTCAAAGTGGTTCTCCGAGGTCACATTGTTGCTAGGGTTTAACATGAAGACGAGCCAGTCCTTTTTTACAGGGTCCGGTAGCTTGCTCTCTATGCACTTTGTTACTCTTGGGTTTTTGATGGCATCTGTCTCTCCAAGCTCTCGAAGGGCTGCCAGGGCTTTCTCCACAGTCTGGATAAGGTCGATAACTTTCCTTGGTTGATTTTGCTCTTAGCACAGGAATTCTCTCCAGACCTTCAATAATCTCAAGGGCGATTGTAGATTTATTTCCAAATCTATTTTCAATAACTCTGAAAATGTCATCTGCAGTGTTGTATGTAGAAAGGCGGAGGTCTCTTGTGATTCTCTCATTCATGCTGTCTATAAGCTGCATCTTTCTCACCTCCATTGAGCCGGTTGGTTCTCCTTGCTTTTGCCGGCTCTCCCAATCCTTCTTCCATCTGTGGAACTCTCTTTTATCACCATAAAACTTGGGCAGACTAATTGGCTTAATTCTTACAATGGGTGTTGTCTGTGTTGCTGGCGTGGTCCTCATGTGTGCAGCTGCAGTGAACATAGATGCACTTTTTTCCTCCTCTTCAATTCTTAGAGCAAACACAAACTCTGTTCTCCTCTCTTCAAGATTGTTCTTGACTGCCTTTAAGTCTTTAATTCTACCATCTAGATTGCCTTTCTCCGTTTCTGAAATCCACAGCTCCCAAGATTCTAGGCTTTGAGAGGCTTCCTGGACCAGCTTCTCCATGAAGCCCAACTGCATTTCATAGCCATCATTAGACTCACAGCAGAGACAGGTGTTGTAGCTTCCTTATCACAGGCTCTCTCAGCTTCATTGACTGCAGCTTTCAGCTCATCTTGTCCATATCGAGACCAGAGGTTTGTTTGCACAAATTTCCTGATTTCATCTCATTTTGTCTCACATTCCAGTGTCTTCCTTTCATTGAATTCAGCCTGCAAGTGTTTCAGCTAGTGATGTGTCGGTCATGAACGATTCGTTCAAAACGAACGAATCATCTGGGTGAACGAACTGAACTGAATCACTTACTAAAAAGAGTCGTTCATTTCTCAACTTCAGTTGCCCTCTCCTCTCTTCCGTCTCGTGTCTCAAAGCTCCCGTTCACAGTACGTTCAGTGAACGAACTGGACGAGAGTTCCGACGTGAATCACGCTCCGGCGTGAATCACTGAACGAACTGAACGAGAGTTCCGACGTGAATCACGCTCCGACGTGAATCACTGAACGAACTGAACGAGAGTTCCGACGTGAATCACTGAACGAACTGAACGAGAGCGCCGCCGACGTGAATCACTGAACGAAGTGAGAGGAAGAGCGGAGCTCTCGTTCAGTTCGTTCACTGAACGAACAAACTGAACGGGAGCTCCGACGTGAGTCACTGAACGAACTGAGAGGAAGAGCGGAGCTCTCGTACAGTTCGTTCACTGAACGTACTGAGAGGGAGAGAGAGACTCAGAGCTCCCGTTCAGAATCAGTACACACAATCACTTTCACCACCCGTTTTTCATATTTTAGGTTTCACTAAGCAAATAAAAGATGTACGCAAATAAATATTAGGTTATTAATTATTTTTAATTAGATAAAATGAAAACAATAAAAAATAAAAGTGAGAAACATAAATTACAGTGCATGGCCATGCATTTACATCTACAGTTAAGACATTAAACAAAGCTGCCTAATATATAATCATAGTTTGTTTAAATAAAGCAGCCCTTGCCGACAAAGTAGCCTAAATTAGCCTATATTATTATTTTAAAAATCTGCTTATATAATTTAAAATATAACTGTTCTGGTACAGGATATATTCGTTGCCATGCATATTTTCTGCATGTAGCCTATATTAAGTTAAATTAATTGTCATTCATGATAATGTTTGCAAACTGAAAGCTTCATAACAACAAGCACATACATTTTCGCGACACCCAGCTTAATTGTTATTAATTAATGATCGTACAAATCATTGACTGACTGGTGAAAGTGATTGTGTGTACTGATTCTGAACGGGAGCTCTGAGTCTCTCTCTCCCTCTCAGTACGTTCAGTGAACGAACTGAACGAGAGCTCCGCTGTTCCTCTCAGTTCGTTCAGTGATTCACGTTGGCGCTCTCGTTCAGTTCGAACTGAACGAACTGAACGAGAGCTCCGCCTCCTCTCTCTTCCTTTCAGTCAGACAGTCAGTGAGTGATTTGTGTACTGAACGTACTAAACAGAACGGTCGGGGAAAATAAATGTGATTGTTTTAGCAGCTTTCAGTTTGCAAACTGTGACTTTATCCAACTAAATTCTCAGCTCATTGGTTTATTATTCACCACCGGCTGTTCTCAGTACGATCGCGAGCAGAACTAAACGTTCGGCCGTGTTTCAGCTTATTAAATTCTGATTCACAGACAGAGCTGCAGAGAAGTACTGAACGATTCGGTGAACGAATCATTTGAACGAATCACTTTACTGAACTGATTCTACTGATTCAGTACACTGAAAATAACTGCTTTTCACATCACTAGTTTCAGCCTCACTCCTGCTCTCACTCACACTCAGGGGCGTCGTAGTGGGGGGAAAAGTGGGAATGACTACCTAGGGCCCAGTGGGGAGGGGGGTCCCTTCATGGGCCTGAAATAAAAATGTATTTCTTATTTCGCTTTTTTCTCTAAGTTATAAGATAACTAAAATTTTCTGAATAAATGAACAAACATTCAGAATTCCTTTCTGGAAAAAATGTGGAGTCTGTCTCAAAGGCCCCTCTCCCCCCTTCTGATTGCGTAGAATGGTTTAGTCCTCCCACCACCTCTCGCCTGGATTGAATTGTCGGCAGTCAATCGAGTCAAGAGTGAGAGATGTGGCGTGCTGCAAATTAAGATTAAGCCAAGAATATCGTTTTGTTCAATTTGTGTTTTATGCATAAATTCATCATGTGAATCCCCTTCATAGATACGATTTCACATGACCCTATTTTGTAAAAATATTACATCGCGGTAAAAAAGAGTCCACTTTGGAGCGATATTTAGCGTCTTTCCCAGCTACAGTAACATATTTGATATCAACAGATTCTTTGTAAACTGTCAATTCATATGATATCAATGTTGTCGCGCTAGCAGAAAAACTGAGTTCGCTACTTCTGCCCAAAAAACAATATTTTGAACGTCAGGTGAGACAAATGATAATGCAGTGTAAGAAGAATTAAAGTGAAGTCAGAACAGAGAAGAACTATTACAGCCTCATTTTAAAGTCATGGTAGAATCTAATTCAGATTTATTATATGTTTACATTTTATCATTAATGCCAGTATAATTTTTAATTCAATAAGCTAACCAGTAAGATCACTTTAGACAATAAAAGCCTTTAGAACATTAACTATAACAAGTTAATAAGTAAAATAATCCTGCTGGAAATGTTTCAAATGTCTGAAAGGTGCATATGTTACAAAGTTTAAATTACTTTTAAGCTATGAAGAAATATTACAGTGATTATTTATCTTCCTTTTTCAGGGTGTAAAACAAAGCATAGTTTTTATGGGTCATTTGTGTGATGGTCATAGAAATTTTCCAGGTTAGTTTGGGGCGTGGTAGGGGCCCAATGTGATATCTTTACACGGGGGCCCGGAGTTCCTGGCGGCGCCCCTGCTCACACTACCGACACTCCTGTCTGTGAATTAGAGCCACTCAGTAGGTTTACACACCTGGCTCAGAAAGGTTACCTGATTTCCTGACCCGCTCAGTGCTGCTCTCCAGTGTTCAATAAAAACTTTAAATAAGGACTGACAACAGAGATAACCTGATAAGTACTAATAAAGCTGCTTAGCCTTTAAACACTGTGGTTCTTAGATATTAACAAAACAGTTAATGAATAACTAAGTAAAATACATAAATAGAGATCATACAAAACATCAAGTATTTCATGTAACAATTCAACGTATACATAAGAACACCTTCTCGCAGCAGTAACATTTTGGCATATTGCACGTCCCCTCGCCACATCCTACAGTACCTGTTATTCAGAATATTAACATGGGCACAAATGAATGTTTGTATCGGTTCAGCCGGGT